ATACGGCACCAGCTATATAGGAATACAACAAATGCCAGCAATAGTACATTATACATACAGTGTATAATGTATTGCTGGGATTTGTAGTCCTCCAGAGCTGATGGTACATATACAGCACAATTAACTAACAGCTATAGAGGACTACAAATCCAACTACCCCAGCAATACATTAATGCAGCACCATGTGTGTTTGTGTGGGGGGGTGCAGGATTACCTGAGCAGATATAACCGTCGCTGTCAGAATAAAAAAAAACATTAAAAAAACTGCATCTGCTGCTGTCAATCACTAGAAGGGGACCTGATGGAGAACTGCAGGTCCCCCTCTGCTGATTGGCAGCAGCAGAGGGCGGGCACAATAGCTAGTTTGCTATTGGCTATTGCAAAGTGAAATAGCCAATAGGAATCTAGCTTTTTTTTTCTGATTTACGGCGACCAGCCATATCATGTGTGCTCAAGTAGTATGAAAGTGCTCCGGACAGCAAGTTAAACAAGCCGCCGGGGACACTGTTAACACTTGTAAAGTTAACTGTTGGCTTTACTGTAGAAGCGATTCTGGCGGCTCAGCGGCTGCCAGATCGATTCTACGGGCCAGTAAACTGGGCCCCCCCGCCCGACACCCCAGCCGTGTTTCCCGGGCTCCGCTGCCACTCCTACGGGCCTGGGACTGGCTTCTCTGGTGTCGGGGGGAAGCTGTGGAGCAAATTGGCGATCCTCCATTCACCGATCTCCCTGTACTATGGGACCGGGAGCAATACATCATTTCCTGTCCCATAGCTGTCAGTGGGCCAATTGTAAATGATCGATTTTGGTAATCAGTTCTTCCATTTTAGAGTTGCGCTCTTTTTTTCTTCCTTCTGTGCCTGTGGGCTATTGAAGAACCCCTTATCGTGGCTTTGTGTCCTTCCCGAAGAATTCCAGGGGAGATACCCCCACCTCCATCCTGGAAATAGTGAGTCAAATCGGATGCGATCGCCCCCATCACATGGGGGTCCTCCAGCAGCTGCTCATTTAATCTCCAAGAGAAGGGAGGTCTGGTCGCCCCCGGTATCCTTAATCTCACCGTCACTGAAGCGTGATCTGAGATAGTAAAACGTTAAATGTGGACCTCTGTAAGCCAATCCAAATGGTGATGGTCCAAAAAAATATAATCAATTCTAGAATAAGAATTGTGTGTACTGGAGTATAAAGTATACTCCCTATCTTGAGGTTGAATAATTCGCTTCTTAGCATAGTTCATATCACTTGTAAGCAATGTATGAGTGACCTGTGGAAGAGTCAAGTGTAGGATCTATGTGTATGTTTAAGTCCCCTGCAAGAATTGTCAGGCCTTCCTTAAACTCGGACAGAATGTGTAAAGTAATTTGTAATAAATGGAATTTGTGCCTGATTAGGGCTATATAGGTTAACTAATGTGATGGTTTGAGCAGTGGCGTAACAACCGGGGGTGCAGCAGGGGCGCGGCCCCTGGGCGAAAAGTGAAGGGGGGGCGCCGGCCGAAAATGGCACTTTCGGCTAAATGCCGAAAGTGACATTTTCCTGCCGTTTTGCCGGCGCGGCCGTGATTCCCATAATCCCCGCTGGGACACAGAGCAGTGCACAGCGGGGATGAAAGGAATCAGAGAGAAAATGACAGCCGGCCGAGTGCTGCGGGACGAGCGCTGTGAGCGGCCGGTGTCTTTCCTCCCACACTGCTCGGCCGCATATCACAGTGCAGCAGAGCGGTGTGAGGGGCGGAGACAGCCAGCGCTGTCACAGGAGGCTGGGCTCTCCTCTTGCAGCCTCCTGTGACAGTAAAGTAAAAAATAAAAATATTTAATAAAAAAATAATTAATAAATAAAAATTGATTTAAAAAAATGAAAAAGTTTCAAAAAAAATTGGGTTTGAGTACCAATCTCTCCTTGTATTAGAAAATTAGAAATTTAAATAGTCAATACAAAATGTTTGTTTTTATTAATAATAAATTTCACTGAAAAATCAGCGAACATTTTCAAGTTGTCTTTGTACAGTAAAAAAAGATATTTCAACCATCAACTGTATACACTGCACACATTTGTGTTACCCTTAAAGAATGCTTAAAGTACATCTATAATATTTTTTCATTTTGGATAGAGTAATTTATCAATAAAATCCCTGTCAGTTTTTTTAATATAGGTAAATTTATTAAGGTTTTAATTTAGAATATGTGTAAGGGCAATGGATGTAATGGGGTGGTTGTGTTTTAAGGGATGGTTTGGATCTCAGCTTCAGATGTTTATATAACACTGTTTATGGGAATAGTTTACTTGACAAAGGCAGGTAGTAGGTAGTTTGGACAACTCAGATGAGGTCTGTAATGCAGGAGGGTTTATTGGTATAGGCTTTATACACTCAAGTATGGGAGCAACTGGAAATACTGATTTATATGGCAGTTCACAGTAAAGGTAATTGGCACTTCACAGTATTAAGCTGTATATAATGGCAGTTCTCAGTATTAAGCTGTATATAATGGCAGTTCACAGTATTAAGCTGTATATAATGGCAGTTCACAGTATTATGCTCTATGAATGTATGATACTTGCAGTGAGCAGATCTGTGGTGTGCTGCTGCCACCCGGTGGCCTAGAATGTGAAGTGCGGGTCTTCCATCTGCTGCTGGCAAAGGATAGGGAAACTCTCTCAGGAGGTTTGGACGGAAGCAGAGCCGTGGAGTGGCTGCAACAGCCTAGGAGGTGGGGCTCTGTCCGGCCCAAACGAGGGGAGCTGAGTTGGGGCTCTGTCTGGCCCAAATGGAGTGGACTCGAGCTGGGGCACTATCCGGCCCAATAGAGGGTGATGGAAGGGGCTCTGTCCGGCCCAATAGTGGTCTGCTGGAGGGTATTTGCCTGGCGTCAGGCTCCAAGCACGAACGCAAGGTAATTGAATCTGCCGCCCTAAATAGGAAAAGGGGGAGGAGTCGGATGACGTCGCCGTTCGTGACGTCACTCGAGCTCCGACATTGCCGCTCGTGATAGCCGGGACCCCTGCTATGAGGTAGGAACGTTACAATGGAGAGGGTTCATGGAAAATAAATAAAATACATATTAGATACAATCTGTTAATACCTTTTGTACAGGCTTCTATTATACATTGAGTGTGACAGATGGGTTAATTACAATAACATCTGTGTACAATTTAACAAGATTTAATTGGTTAATTTTTAACTATAGTACGTCATAAGGTTGTAGCTTGTTATGGAAATTTAGTTATAGTTTCTTGGTTTTCCTGTCCATGTTGTATGATGTGTACATAGTTAGCTTATTGTGTTTTGTTTCCTTTTCCTGGCATTTATTGTAGCATGAGCAGTAAAAGGGTTTGCTGGAGTTTCCTGTTAGAGGACCCAATTCTGTATTTGTAGTACATTCAGTCAGTCAGCAGTGGTACCTAGAAAATGTTTTTGATTAAAATATAGGTTGTATATTCATGGAACTTCTAGCAAATTGATAGCAGTATGTATGTAGTATGCTGCATAGTTAGACGAGAAAAGGTGAGTTTAAAATATACCTTTCATGGGAAAAATTATCGAGGGTGCCATTGTTAGCTTTATCCTAAAAAGGTAGGTTACTGGCTGTACTGGTTTCAATGCTTCTCAGTCACAGATCTGGAACAAGTTTACAGCAAATGAGCATCAGAAGAAAAGTCAAACATTCTTATGAGTGTCAGTGTAAAATCAGAAATGTTTGTATCTTAGTTTGTCTTCAATACAAAGAAGGTGTAAAGATTTGTCTTAAATGCAAAGTATGACAGCCACTCAACTCGTATTTCCACAAGGAGAGCTTTATAAGCAAATATCTCTCTTCTTACAGGTGTACTTTAATATGGGATCTGTAAAGGTAGAGGGCTTTAAAATAATTTTGCTACTGAACTCTATGTTATTACAGATTATTACAGATGCATTGAAGATGTTTGGGTGGGGACTAAATAGAAATATGCTGTCTACATTTTGAATAACAAATTGTGAAACATTTGTAGTGCAGACTCTCCGCCCCCACACCGCTCTGCCGGACTGTGATAGGCGGCGGAGCGGTGCGGGAGGAGACGCCGGCCGCTCACATCGCTCTCCACCGCAGCGCTCGGCCGGCTGTCACTTTCTTTTCTCCCCGCTGGAACAGCGCCCAGCGGGGAGAAAAGAAAGCAGGGATGCGCCGATGTATTATGCCAAAAGTGCAATTTTCAGACGATATGTTTCGGCGCTGATATATCGGTGCATCCCTAATATATATATATACACACACATATATATACACTGAGTGGCCAGATTATTATGGCCAACTGACGTTTGTAGGCAAATTAGCTATAATTTCGCGCTGAAGTTGCTAGAGGGCCAGACCATTATAAATAGGGAAGCAGGTTGTTTACCACGACAGTAGAAGTGATTTTTTTCTGAAGATATGGGTAAACAACGCGATTTAACAGCCTTTGAACGTGGGATGATTGTTGGCGCTCGGAGCCATGGAGCGAGTATCGGCAAAACAGCAGAATTCGTTAAATGTTCAAGAGCAGCTGTTGTTAATGTGTTTAAAGACTGGACTATCAGCCGAAAATCTGGGTCTGAACATGCGAATTGTGACCGTCAGCGACTAGTCAATGTTAGGGCAGATTGGAGGGTGGCAAGACTGATACAAGACAACAGAAGGGCAACAGTGCAGTGTCAGATTCCTCGCATCACCTTTCAACATCTCGTGGAGTCACGAGGCGGCCCAACGCAGTCATCTCGTGGCCCAACGAAGTACTGATGGGGTGGTCATAATAATCTGGCCACTCAGTGTGTGTGTATATATATATATATAGAGAGAGAGAGAGAGAGAGCTGTGTAGACTTTGAAGCTTACATGAAATTCTTGGTGCCCTACATTTATTTTCTCTCTCTTCCTACCACTTTGTCCATACAATATATTCCTGCTCCTAATTTTATATTTACACCTGTTGACTTACTATTGACGACATCTATATACATTTATAGTGCTTCTTTGTTCTCTATCGCAGATGTGCCATCCCGAATGCTGGGCCCTCGGAACCAGCTTATCAGAGTAATTGAATATAATAGGACTCAGTTAGACTGCCCTTTTTTTGGATCTCCTATACCTACTCTTCGCTGGTAAGACTTGTGCTGCAAGTAACCAGCATATCTTTCTCTATTTTGGCTTCTGAGTTTTTAAAAAGAATATCAAGTAAAAACTGATCAGGATTTACTTTTCACAACTGTACAATTGGATGCACAACATACATTTTATTTTACATGGTAGGTTTAAGAACGGACAGGGCAGTAACCTGGATGGAGGAAATTACAGAGTCCATGAAAATGGTACACTGGAGATTAGTACTGTGCGAAAGGAAGATCAAGGCAAATACACGTGTGTTGCTACAAACATCCTTGGCAACGCTGAAAATACCGTAAGGCTTGAAGTCAAAGGTAGGATCATGGGTAGAGAGTACATTTTTTTTTATAACTGTGTCTACTTTATTTGCACTAATCAAAACATTTAGGTAATGTTTTGCAGCAGATTTTCAAATGTGTACATTTTTCTATCCCTTCCATAATTAACAAAAATATGGAGGATATTGATGTTACCCAGTGTTTTTACTCTACAGGAATCTTTGGACTGATAATTGGTAAGCATATGAACCAATTCCAATCTTTGGGGCGGAGAAATATCTGTGTGATTATAGAATGACTAGGATGGACAATTCATTAATTTAAGATATATTGTTACAAATATGGGGCTTTGATACCAAATCTTCCTTTGACATCCAAATGATAAATCATTTATATAACAGGATTCCAGACACTCATATGAATGCTTAGTTAAAATGCATGTTTTACTTGCCAAAAATGTTTGTAATGTTGTCAAGAAAGTCTTTGGATACAGGTACCCCTGCCAGACAGTACAGGTCGCTCTCCTCACTTTTCTCCTCTGCAATAAAATAATACACCAAACCATCCCCTCGATCCTGCTGACTGGAAAATGAAGGCCCTTCATCATAATGATGAGGTCATTATTCTGCTCTTTTCTCCTTTTCTCCATGCTTCGAGTCTTAGAGTGAAGCACTGTGCAACCGAAGATATCTGGCTCTTACTCCTCACACTGGAGTCCCTCTTATTTCCATTCTTGCTCTTCAAGAGATCACATGAAGCTAATATACAGACATATGCAGACAATTTACTATATATATATATTGTGACAGGGTACACGATTCTGTGTATGTCAGTGAGAGGTTGAAAAGGGCAGCTTTCCCTGGCTAGGAAAGGGTTAAGCCTGGCCAACAGGTAAACCTCCTCTCTCTCTATTAATTAGCCTGCACCTGATAGTGACTGAGAGTGGGAGAGAGTTCAGAGCAAGATCCAGGCTGCACTGGATGGACACAGACTGGAGAGTATCTGTCTGCATATCTGGGAAATAAGGTCTGCCAGAACAACTGTAGGTATTGGACTGTGGTTTTTGTTAATTTATACTGGAAGCTGGAATAGCCGCTCCAGTAGGACGTAGTGAGGGACACTACTGTTAGCCTCCTAAGGTGGAGTAGACCTTTTTATTTGTGTTACTTTTGAGTTCTGCTGGAAATTGTTTGTTTAAGGGAGACTTTTACGTTGCGTGCAATAAAGCTGCATTTATTGCCAAATACTGATTAAAGACCATTGACTTTCCTA